GTACGATAAATTTTCATGTATAGGTCTAGAAATAATGTATATGGTAAAACAACGTTTGCCGAGTCAGCTAGTTAATTATATAAAATTTACATATTTTGTTACAGTGTTCATTACAATCAATCTATCCTTTATTTGTATAATCATAGGTACAGTTATAAATTTAATACTACGTAGTGCACTATGTTTTACCATCATCGGAAGTACCTCCAAATATTATTATGATATAATATCTTTTATATTTACAAAGTTAGTATTGTTGAGGCAATAGCAATTTTTTTAAAGGATGATCAACTATAGATAGTGATCTTAATAATCTTAACACTAGATATAAATTTAAACTTGCTGTTCCGAAGTGTCGTTTAGAAAAAGTTAATAGGTCTTTTATGGGAATGGGAATAAAATATTATAGTAACGTATCGAAGAATATTTTGGATTTACCTTTTATTAAGTTTAAAACTGTTATCAAAAACATTGAACAAATCCTATAATGGTATATATATAACGATTACTTGAATGACAAATGTGCATGGTGTTAGTCGATCATGCATGGGCTTTTAACGACCATGTAATTTTAGATATCATACATTTAAATAAATACTCATATTAATATTTCATAATTTTAACAGAGATTTTAAAGAGTAACTATTGAGTTTCTTGTGAGCTCATCTCAACAGATAACAACTTTAACCCAGCATTTATAAAAAAATAGGGTTTAAAAGTGTTTGTAAATAGGTTTATTTGAATAAAGATGATCATAATTTTAATTAAGGCAATTTTTCGCAAGTACTAAACAAATTGCACACGCGTTTTAATCAATTAATAATTGGAATTATAAAAATAAACTGATAAAAATGTTTAAGTAATAACATTTCATCATTTTATCTGTATGTTTGTTTATTTTTTTTATAATAGATAAACTGAAAAAACCGATATTAAAAGTTTTTTCTATCTTTACACCTATATATAGTTAGTTACCTGTATATCAGTGAGAAATACACATCCAGTAAATACTCTTTGTGTTCATGGTACTGTTTATGTTTATAAGCGACAGTTACTAATTTTGGCCATCAACTTGTTTAATATATATAGGCAATATTATATAATAATATAACAATATTTTATTAAAAAAATAGAGATCCCAGGAAAATTACAAATATGTATGAACTAGCATTTCGCTCTGGCTTCAGACAAGTTAATAGATATAAAGATAAATTGGTAAGGGTAAAAAGATATTCAAAATATATTTTTGGTCTTTGTTACTTACTGATAATGTAATTTTTGATAGACGAAAGAATTTTTAAAATCTGTTGAGTAGTTTTCAAATCTTCCCCTTTTACAAAAAATAGTATTGATAAGTACGCACGTTTGTTCATTTAAAATATAAGAAAATCCTTTAAAATAAATGAAATAGTCCAACCATTGAGTTTAAGTAATATTTTTTATATATTACTTGCTTATATATATATATATATATATATATATATATATATATATATATATATATATATATATATATATATACTTCTTATATTATAATATAAATATGTTACATAGCTATATCTTGGTTTCGCTCAACTAACAACATGTTAATGACTTCTCCGGACCTGATTTGAATATAGAACATCAAATTAATTTTCATGTCTAACAGAAGTGTTCTGTGTGTGTGACATTTGTAATGGCTAACGATGTATAAAATTATAGTAAAAAAACGTTCAAAACAGAGTTATATTTTTTATGGAAAAAACTATACTGGCATATACGTGATGTGAATAAAATGTTTATGACAGTTCAACGTCTATTAGTTCTTGGCATAGATTATTTAATTTTAAATTAAAAAAGGATACTTTTTAAGCTTTTACTTTTATAATATACATAGTTTTATAAAAAAAATATTTAAAGTCCCCATGTATTTGTTGTAAATATATATAAAATGTATAAATCTTTGTGATCATCTAGAAACTCGTTGACACTAGAGGGCGACAATTTTATATTCTTTATTAAAGAGAAGCCTACTCCTCAAGAACCGATACATTCTAACGTGTATGCAATTCATATCTAGTAAAGTATTTACAAATGTAGTAATTAATTTGTCTGCGCGCTCAAAAATTAGCTGCACACTAATATAAAAAAGTGTTATTTGTTATGACTCTGATTTGATATTTATCATTTACTACTTTTTAGTACAATTTTATAACAATATCTGGAGGAAAACATATTCCTCAATAGAGTCATATATTATAAAATATTATGTACTCGTATTTTAAGTACTTATTTACCGATTCTATTTATATTGATTTATGCTTATAATCATTTATTTTTTGTATTGTTTGTGAATACGAATATTATATTATGAATCTCGTGTTATTTGTTGCTTTGTTCGACGCCGAATTGCATTAATGTAATTTTTAATGCAAATTAACATGTCAGACAACAAACTAACTAAGAAAGGTTGCCTGGAAGAGATCGCTTTTAGCGATATGTCCGCCCATTATTTTCTCACTGTGAACATTTCTTGTAATTGTTTGTATCTATAACAAGTTTACTATTATAATCTGTATTATATTTTTATATGTCAGGTGAATTTTGATAATATGAAAGTTTAAATTTACTGCAATAAAGGTGTTGTTTATTTATGAATAATATGAATCGATTAATCATGTTTAAATGCCATGTTCAAATTAACGTACCTATAGATTTGTTGTCATGGACTATTTATTTTGACTATAGATTCTTATTAAACTAAATAGACATAATAGTATAGCGAGTAGATGTTTACAAAAAAGTTTTTACTCTATGGTAAATGCTTACGGTAAATACTGATCCTTGATATAAGTTTGTTGTGATGTCAAGCGTATAAAAGGAGTGGATGCATTTACATTTCGCATCAGATCTTAAACAGTGTTTGTTAGCATCGTTTACTGTAAGTTTTTTCATTTACTTATTTATTTTTTTATTATTTTTGAGGGAAGCTTATAGCTGTAATAACTTAATAATTAACTATAAATGACAACAACAAGTTACTTAGAAGCTACCACATATAATTGACGAAAATTAATTACTTGCAGTCCAGATAATTAATAAATGTAAAAAATACAGGGTAAATGTCGTTAAAATTAGTTAATGAGTAATTTGCAATGGTTTTTCTTATATAATTGCTGCTATTATTAAATATATCTATTTCATAATAGGGATAACTTCATACATCATTGAAAATAGTGTAAGCTCGTATTATGAAGCAATTGCTTCTGTTATATGAAAAATCTAAAGTGTAGTATATTAAAAAATCTAAAAAGACGCGAGTTAGTATTAGGTACTTTAAGTGGAATTTACTAAAGAACGTTTAGTTTAAATTGTAATTATCATTATCAAACAATTGTTTTTATATTTTTAATATATCTATGCATATAACTTGTCTAGAAAATTATTAAAAAGTTCTCTATGTGGTAATATAGCAAGAATACTGTGTATCAACACTGTTTTCATCTACAGGTTATCGTTAAAGTTGACAGTTAACAGTTGTCAAAATATTTAATATTACAAAAGAAGGAAGTGTTAAAACCCTACATAAATAAATAAATAATGTAAATCAAATTTTGATATGTTCATACTCACACTGACCAAAAGCGTTTTAGTGGGCGATCATTATCATCATTTCAGCCATTATCCGTCCACTGCTGGACATAGGCCTCACCCATAGAATGCCATAAGAAATGGTCCTGAGTCACTTTCATCCAGTGACTCCCTGCAATGCATTTGAGGTCATCACTATATCTAGTGGGGGGTCGTCTTACACTGCACTTGCCCGTACGGGGTCGCCACATTGTCGGTTCTTCGAGCTATTTCGGTTACTTTGGTTCTTATATTCTTATATAAATCCTCGTTTCGAATACTATCACGCAATTGGGCTATTTGGTTAATATTATAATTCTATTGCCAGATATTATAATATTAACATTTAATAAGAAATAATTTTTATCCAGTAGGCCGTAAATTGATGCCGATTTATTAACGAATTCTTTGATGAAAGTTGGTTTTATGGTTGGTTTTATATACCAGGTACAAAGTATATTTCATCTTTAAAGTTCTGTTTACTGTAATAGACACTGTGCGAATTGTGTAATTATTTGGTAGGTGCTTATTTGTAATGTTTATATAGTTATATAGTAAAAATAATATGTAGGTAAGATAATTTGGGTAAAGTTAGATTAAAATAGCAATGAAGAAATAAAATGGCTAGTTCGAGAAATCAAGTACTTTAATGGTGAATATATTGCAAGTTGTACATTTATTTTAAAATATTATTTTTCACCTTATAGACTTATAATTGCGATGCCTTATTTATTAAGAATCAATAAACTGGTTAGACTACATAAAGTATCAATCATGTAACAGTACAGTTCCACTGATATACGATCCTTGAATGATTAGTGTAAACGCGGCTAAGAGCATTTTTTCGTTGCTCTACTGTATCCATAAATGAAATGTATAGAATACTTTACTTAGCATGTTAATAAAATAATTAAGTTCTTTGTTTTTAATTGTTTTGTAATGTGTTTAATTAAGTCCATTAAGGACGTTGTTGTCACCATAAAACAAAGAACGCAAATTAAAAATATAAAAGTCTAGTAGATAAAAGAACCGTTCTTTTTCTGTTTAATTTTTGTTCGTGCTATTTTCCCTTTAATTTTAAAGATACAATTAGATACACCAAACGAACAAAGAGCATAGAGTAACAACTAAAATAGTCACAAAGATAGAACATGTAGCTTTATGACTAAAAAGTAGTAGCAGTTGTATTGCGACATATAAAGATAACGTAAATATTATTTTCGTGCCTCCAAATTACATCTAAATTCTTTATTTTATTTTTTTTTATTTCCTTGTGATTTATTGAGGTTAATAGTTTAATATCACATGCTCGTATAATATATTTTAATGTAAACTTTCATGTCTTGCGAAATTAGATCAGTTAATAAAATTATTTCAACATTATGTTTCAGTGCGTACATTGCGAGATGAAGTCCTTCTTAGTATTATGTGCAGTGGTGGCACTTGTCATCGCAGAAGAGAAGTATACTACTAATAATGACGACTTTGATATCGAAGCATTGATTGTCAACGTACCCGAGCTTAAAAACTTTAACACCTGCTTCGTTAATGACACAAACTGCAATGACGTTAGCAGTGACTTCAAGAGTAAGTAATTAAAAATTTTATGTTCAATCTCAGATTAGTAATACCTAGATTGTTTTTATGCAAATGATCAGATTTTGCTTTGGTCTCAAAAAAAAAAAAATAGTAACTTCGATCGTAGCGTAAAATATTATTAAATTTATATCGCAGAATATTGTCTAAATAAAGCAACAAGGAAAAAGCAGTTTTTGGCTTCCCATTAAAAACCCGTCCAATACCGATTAAAGGACGCAAACACTATTAATTGTAAAAAATAAATTCAAATTAAATAAATTAAGAATTGCACCATAATAATAAAAAGTACATAGTAATAAGTCCATGCTCACCTTTTAAACTCATTACAACATGAGCTCCTTTCCGAGGTTTTTCCAAGAGACTATAGCACGGGGTTCTTCAAAAGGGGGGTAAAGAGGTTTCTTCAGGGTAGGCATAGGCTACGGTAAACGCTTACCATCAGGTGGGCCGTATGCGTGTTTGCCACCTCAGTGGTATAAAAAAACCGGAATACTAGACATCATCTTTTATATGGTTGTGTGTGTATTCCTTTATACTAATGTATGTATATTATATTCATCATTTTATGTTATTTATGTATAAATTATTTGTCGTGTATTACATATAAACGATATACATTATTATTATTATCTATACATATCCAAATTTGTGTTATATTTTCTTTTAATCAATAAAGTTATTTAAATAACTGAATACATAATACAATAGTACGCAAAAAATACAGACGAATTATGGATCTCCTCTTTTCGAAAATCGCTTTAAAGAATAGGCTACATATATAAAGTTAGTTTATGTAATAATTTAAAACTGTGTTCGAGAAAAAAAACCGACATCAATCTGGCAAAACCAGTATATTTGATTTATTAACTAAACTACTGAACCAATTTTGATAAGATTTTTATGGAACCAATCTAAAAGTAAAAAAAGTGCTTTCTAAATTGGTTTTTAAATGACGGAGTTATGAGGTAACAAACGAGAAAATACAATCGAATTCATAACCTCTTTCTATTTTGAAGACGTTTGTATATCATATACGACGACGTATACGACGTATATATATCAATATATAAATATCTGTATAGATATATGTACCACGGTTTGACAATGACCCATTTTTAAGGATATGTATGCGTCTATATACTTTAAGACTTTTTTTGACTTTTCACTTGCATCCTCGGGAGGGCACTAGACGATTCTTAAGTAGGCGAGGCCCATCTCGCTTCCTTTTAATACGCCTAAGGTCCTGGATTAATTCTGAGGGTATTTTTTCCAATTTCATGAGAATAAAGTCGCCGAAGGATATTACGAAATCAATAATAAGAACATGAATGATTATTATTAATGCATAGTAAGTCATTTAGTAACTGATTCTTGCGTAAATCTTTCTCAAAGCTTTTCATTCATATCATCTTCACTTCTTATGATAATTTTTGGAAATCACTTCTCTTTTGCTTACATTATACTAAAAACCACGCGAAAAAATTGTCTTCAGTTTAGACTGTGCTTTAGTCAGACTCTTATAAATTATAAGTTCCCATTTCGTTCTCCATTTCAAATAACTATTACAGACTGAAAACATACTTTAAAAGAAATCCATAATGACGATGATGATATCCGCCTTTAACTGTCTATTGCAGAACATAGGTCTTCCCTTTTGGGAAATTGCCAGTAGTTGCTATGATTGGTAGGCGAGTTGGCGACCGCAGTTAGGCTTTTATGGTGTTATAAGAGGGTCGCTGCTGCCCATCCCTTTACCTTTAAGTTCCCTTATTCACCTGTTACGACATCCACAAAAAAGAAAGGGGTAGCCTACTTTATATACACACACATACATAATAGAGGAATATTTATAATTTCACCAGAGGGAGACTTTGTACAAAAGTCGATTGCTTGGGTATCTCTGTCCTATTCGTGTTTCAACCGCGAAGCAGTTGTGTTTGCATGGCTGTGTTTCGGTTTGAAGGGTGGGATATGGCGTCAATTTACTGGGTACAGAGGAATAACACCTGAGTCCTCAGGAATGGCAACGCATGGGGGATATCATGAGCGAAACAGTATACTCTGTTATGTTCATGGTACTGCTCGTGACTATAGGCGACGGTTACCACTTTCCATCAGGTGGGCCGTCAGCTTGTTTGCCATTCTAAATTGTATAAAAAAAAAATAATTATTTTTAATTTTATTAAGGATATGTCAGATGCATATATGATCATAATGTCATTTACATCTGCTTTACGTTAAACTGACGTAGTTAGGTTACCAAAATAGATCCTTGATTTGAATGTGTACTTAATTATGCTTAAGTTGATTATATAATCACTGAACATTTCCAAATGTGGATGAATTGAGATATACAAATTCGTACCTTTTTCGTCTTCTTATTTGCTATTGTATCTCTTATAAAAATAACTCTTTGTAATAATATAATAGCCATAGAGTAGACAGAGATGACTGCTAAATTAAGAGACAACACCCAAAAAACTCCTCTAAACATATATTGATCGAATTCTATAAATATAAATTCTAGATGCTCTTAGCCAGTTTTTAATGTCGTCTGTTAGGTATAATTCTCTACTTGTTATGTTAGTGAAATAAATATTTTTTGTATTTATTTTCATGCATTACCTCTATATATATTATCTTTTAAATTATAATAATTATTTATAATTTTAGGAAATCTACCAGAAGCAGTAAGAGAGGCATGTGCTAAGTGTACAGATGTACAGAAACACATCTTTAGAAGATACTTGGAAGGTCTGCAGGAGAAATTGCCCCAGCAGTTCGAAGAATTCAGAAAGAAGTTCGATCCAGAAGGAATTTATTTAGAACCATTGAAAGCTGCCTTAGCAAAGGCATAAGCATATCGTATCATATCATATATCTTATAGAGAGTAAATGGGAAATCATTTAATGGTAGACTATCAATGAAATTCAACACCTCTTATATAATTTTTTTTTTGGGAAAAGTGTTAAGTTTTTCGTATAGAATCATTGCATCTTGTACAAGTGTATTTCAAAATTTTTTTACAAGTTCTGAGAAATGTCAGAAGTTTACTATACATCTATTTACTTTATGCTGTAATTTTTAAAGGTTTTCTTGGTTTTATTTACTTACCTACAAATATCAATAAATTACAATTTGACTTTGGTTTTTTAATATTTATTTGAAACCAACACATTCGATAGTAAACAACATTCATTTATATATAAGAGTAATATGATGGAAATCACATATATTTTTTTAACTTTAGGAATACGTTTTCTATTCTCTTATTTTACATGACATCTCGATTTTTCTTTAGTTTTTTAATTTCGTGAAAATCGAAATATACAAAGTTATTATGGATGAATGATGAAGATATTATGGTAGTAAAAGAATATGGAATGTAACCGATTACCTTTAACTGTTTTATTTATTACCTACTTACTCGGTTGACTTTTATACATGCGGTGTCATTAGATTCTCTAATTTCTTATGGAAGTGGAAGGCTGTAGCTTACAGTTGACATACCTATATGAAATGTGTAAAAAACTCAAAAATTTGCCTGACAGATAAATTTTTTAACTTTGTCACATCTAATTAAATAAATAAAAATGCAATAGTATTGGACCATGATAAATCGAAATTCAAAATAAAGTAATTTTGATAATGTATGTTACGCTTTTATAGGATACCTTTATGCGATGACAGATACAAAAAGAAAGCGAAAAAAATTTTATATGATTTACCCTAGAGATTATGAATATTTTGGTAGAGAGATATGGAAAATTTAATTGATAACCTGTTTTTGAGTTAGGCAGAGAATATCGAGAGATAAGACCTTTTTTAATGCTTTACCTATTATGATTACTCTCGCTTCCTTATAAGTTGAATATGGTAAGACACGCAAGGCTTTATAGCAAAATCGGGTAAAGAGGGCCACACAAATCTCTCTTACTTTAGAAAGCAATATTTTTTTTTTCTATGTCTATCAATTGTAACGCATTTTATCAAAAAAAAAAAAAATACTAATTCGTTTATTCTTTCAATAACATTCATAGAGCAGTTTCATGACAGAGTTACGGAAAAATACTGACGATGATATCAAGTACAGATCTTAGTTGTCACTAGTAACTAAAAAAAAATTATTAAGTAGTACTTGTAGGAACGCTCATGAATAATATAATATAAAATTATAGCGCAATTTTTAAAGAATGCTGCTGAATGACAAATACAAAGGGTGGAACACTTCAAATATCTCGGGCACATGTGTGCCATAGATTAACATTAACTTCTGATCTGAGAGACGATTTGGATACAGAGAGGGTGCGTAGGGCATTGTAGAGTATGAATGTATGTGAAAGAGTTCTCGCAAGTTCTTTCCACGTTGTTCGAAAGACGTCAAAATCACTCTTTTTAGAGCATTTTGTTATTCTATACACAAAGCATAAGGATTCTTGGTCTCGACATCTCTAGTGACGTACAGTTCCGTGGCCACCTCAAAAATAAGGTGTAGCTGGCATCCAAAAAACTCAGTGTGCTTAATAGAGCGAAGCATTACTTCACGCCGGATCAGTGATTAATGCTCTACAAATCGCAAATCCGACCTCACTTGGAGTATTACCGTCATTTATGGCGGGAGGATTTGGATACCAGTTCAAACCCTTCGACTCAGTGCAACGACGAGCTACAAGAATTGTCGATGATCCCAGGCATGCAAGCGGTATCGAACCCTTAAGTTTTAGAAGAAATTTTGGTTTACTCTTCGTGTTCTACCGCTTGTACAATGAAGTGTGCTCAGAGGAATTATTCAATATGATGCCCACGGCCACTTTCTACCATTGTACGGTTCGCCATTAACAGGAAATTTACCCTTATACCCTACAGCTTAAATGGTTGCATATGCAATGCGGTTTCAGAGATGTTTTCTCCCACTAACACTCAGGTTACTGAATGAGCTCCCTGACGAGGTTTTCCCAAGAGACTACAGCACGGAGTTCTTCAAAAGGGGGGTAAAGAGGTTTCTTCAGGGTCGGAAACGCGCGCGCAATACCCCTGGTATCGCACGCGTTCATAGGCTACAATAACCGCTTGCCATCAGGTGAGCCGTATGCTTGTTTGTCACCTCAGTGGTATAAAAAATACTGTTTATGAGCTATTTATACTCAGAAGCTATACAGCGCTTTCAAGTCCAGTATCATATAGTGTCTAGAGTATTGGTGGGGTTGTCCCGGTTTTAAAGTACGTCAGAAATGTTCACTGAGGCACGTGCGAAAACGGTGTGCATCTCTAATGTATAGGGTCCGGGCCAGTTCTAGTACTATTCTGAGGGTATTTAAATTGCCAGTACTTGAATTATTGTAGTATGATTCACATGCTAACTAATATACCAAAAAAGGAAGGTTGTATATAGGTGAATAAATAATATTCGAGTATATTCCTATGCATGCAATTTTGGAAAGTAATGTCACATCTTCTCATTCAAAATACCCATTTTGAAGACGAAGCTTTTTAAAAAGTTGCTAGATATGGAAGCGAAATTTGGTATCTACAAGATTGATTGTATGCAAAAAAGTTACTCAGCGAGCTATGGAGCCGCTATGCTCAGTTTATTTGCATGATACTGAAGTGGCAATGAGCTGGTTATATAATTTGAAGAACTGACAATCGATGGGGAAGAAAGGTTATTAAGTGGCGACTTTGTATAGACAAACGGAGCGTAGGACGACCCACACTAGATTGAGTGACGACATAAAATTAAATGCAAGGAGTTAGTGGATGCAGCTGGCTTGAAATCGTTCTTTGTGGCTTAATATCGCATGGCAATATATATATAGGCAATATATAGGCAAAGCCTACCATTAGTAGTGAACAGATAAAAGTTGATGTGATGATAATGATATATGTATGCATTTTTTAAAATTAATGTGATGTGATGTAAACTTGTGATAATTTTAGAAGGTCGAATTAAAATATTTTATATTTACGTATCCAATAAAATTAAAAATAAAGTACAAGATATAGCCTGCAGATTATAGCTGTAGATTTTAGGTATTAGAACGCTCTAGAGTTCCAGGTAACATCAACGAAATAAGCTTCTGAGTTTTTTTGTAAGCGCTATATGAATAATTCAACAATCAATTGAAGGCTACCGCTCTAATATTGTTTTTAATGGAAGGCTTTGTGAGGATTGCGTCATTTGACTATATACCATACAAGACTTTTGTTCATGCATTAGTGATTTTGTATTTACATTTCAAAATTATGATTAATCGTTATCTAGTTTATATGTTTATTGTTGTAATAAACTTGTTTAATTTAATCTATGGTCAAGTGAAATATTATGACCGAAAGTACGATAGCTTTGATGGAGACTATTTTGTACAGAATCCGAGATTATTGCAAAGATATATAGAATGTTTTCTGGATAAAGGACCATGTACTCCGGTTGGCAGAGTATTCAAATGTAAGTACATATACCTAAGGTCTAAGAAATTTGTATAATGTAAATTATTATTTTAAATTAAAAACAGTTAATTTTAACAGTAAATATCTTCTATTTTTGTTTTTCTATAAGTGTACTAGGGTGTATTTCGTGAAGAAATATTTTTATATCTCATTATGTTTGTGAATATGATTTTTATATTATACTTTCATATTTGAATAATATTTTAATAATAAATAAAATTCTTATTACTGGCCAGGAATCCTATCATTATTCTATCATAAAAAAGTATTTTTGAAAGTTACCAAATGTATAATTTAATCTGTAATAAAATGTCTTCAAAATTAATCCAATACCTAAGTTGATATTACTGGTTGATGCTTTAGACAAATATGAATTCAATTTAGTTGAAATACAATATTAGTACAAACCATTTTTTCTTATTAAAATTCACGCATATTTTTTTATTTTTAAATATTAAATTTTACAAAAACATTTTATTCTCTGTTGAATCGTTATTATATTCGAGCAAACCAGTTTTTTTACATTACCTAAGTACTTATCAGTTTCCATTGCTTAAATTCACGAATAAATAAAATTGTCTTAAATGAAAACACTTTTGCGCGATTATTCGTTAACATTTTTAAAGTTGGTTTTGATAAAACGATTGCATGAAACAATGTTATATATAATATTTCTTGTCTATATTTTTCATAAAAACATGAGTGTTATCGAAGAAAAATCTTATTTTTCTAAAATAATAATTGTACCTATTTGTTGCAGCTGTACTACCAGAATTAATCACCACATCGTGTGCTAAGTGCACGCCATCCCAGAAAAATTTCGCTCGAAAAACATTCGATGCTTTCAAGAAATTTTTGCCGAATGAGTACGATGAACTGAAGAAAAAGATAGACCCTACAAATATATATATTGATTCATTTGAAAAAGCTATTTCTGGTGACTAAGAGACTCGACTATATCTTTGTAAACATGTCGGATGTCGGGACAGGTAAGGACAACCAATGACAATACAATAATTATTCTTTGTTTGGTCCTGACTCACTGATGCTTAAAGTGACAATTGTAATTGTCTTATATCAGTACCTATCCAAAGTTTGTTTGCTTTCTTTTTCTCTATTTCTTTCTTACCTTGATTAATTGCTCTTAAAAAATCGCTTATCAGAATCTTTCACTCTCTATGTATCTACATATATTTTTTCTTATTATTTGGGTCTTCTTTCCAAGGTTATGTGTTTTATGAAGTATGCACAATGCTTATATGTATATATACCTATTGTCTACGTACAAAACAACTACGACGTTCTTTAAGTATGTATATTTTTGCAACTTCTAATGGGTAATGGTTTTTTCATGTTTGAATGGGGATAAATATAAGATCTGTACCAATAAAATGTTCGTTATAAAGCTATGAGTATAAAATTCAGTGCATAAAACAATGACTAAGGGTATTTATCCATTTATTTTATATACCTAATTAATATAATATGATTTTTTCCTACGGTATCCATACTGCGTGAATAGGTTTTTTTTTAATGGCTGATAATGGAACGATAACCCCGCCCACGCTAACGATATACGCTGGTGGGGCACCAGTGAAGGATGTAAGGTGAGAATGAAAGAGTCAGCCCATTGTGATGAATATATCTGGAATTCAGCACGATGGTTTCCAGAGGGAACCACGTGGAGATTTACTTTACAGGGTATATTGCTAGCAATAGGACTGGTAGCTCGCATTACTAACAATCCCTTCCCCCCGCGTGAATAGAGTTAGCGTAATGCATATTTATTCTACATATCAGCCTTTAACTGTCCTCTGCTGAAAATAAGCCTCCCCCTTGGAGGGTTTTGCCAGTAGTTGCTACGCTTGGCAAGCGGATTGGAAAAATGAGGAGAAAATTTGTATTATTTCTATTTTTATGAAAAATAAAAACTATATTAAACTCTTACGAAAATATAAATAGTGTACATTGATTCGTAATGATGTTTATCTTTACTGATTATGTAGATTTATATCTAACTATAGACTTAATATGTTTTCTTTGCTATATCATTAAATATAGCTGACATTTTAATTATAATATATATATATATATATATATATATATATATATATATATATATATATATATATATATATATATATATATATATATATATATATATAATTATAGTCAGCAGATATTAAGTTGGCTGAATGAATTTAACCAGTTTTTTGATATAATGTAATCTAAGTTGAATTTATACCATAATCCAGAGCTTCCTAAATTTCTAAGATAATGGAATGCTCACAAATACCTTTTATTTTACGAAACTCCATATCAAGTGATTACAAATCAAGGATACTGTAATTTACAAAGGGTAAAAACTTTTATATAGAAATGTTTTTAAAATTAAATACTGTAATCTTTATTTTTATTTTGAAGAATGAAATTGTGTCACTGTTTTATCAATAATTTTTTTATAGATTGGTATTATGTCCGACAATCCGTGCTGAATTCTTGCGAACTACTTACCCACTTACATAACACTGATGAGTTATTCTCATTACATATTTTGTGCTATTTCAAAATAATATTTGTATTTAATTGTGATATTATTTAAAAGCCAATTATAAATAATTTCTCAGAAGCCTGTACTTTTGTACGGAATTTGCAGATTTTGCGTAACCCTCTTTATTAATCCCGGTCACAGACTTATATATCTCATATATGGAAATACGGAATTTGTCATTATATACGTGAATAACATAGATTAATTACAGTACCTACCTGCGGTCGTGTGAAGAAGGATAACAATAAGTATATATTATAGTCGTACCTACTTGTAATATTGAAAAATGGAAGTTTAAGTTTTGCTTAAAAATATACATTAGCTAGGGCCAATTGCTAGCTGACCGTTTTTAGGGTATTTTTTGCCACTAGATCTAACCGTAAGTATATACCTATTATCTGGTAGACATTGTAAAACTATAAGATCACGTGTTGTTTGTTTCTTCGTCTTATATAAAATCTATTTCATGTATTTTGTTGTATCCTAAATAAATAACAGTACATTAGTGTCGAGGTCAGCAATAAAATAACTGACGGTCGAGTAATATAATATAAGGAAGGACTTGGCCAAGCCCATTACTTCCTAAGTGATTATAAGAGAACGAGGTGCCAGCCTATTTCGGTATAGGCTTGTATAAAAAAATAGTTCAGCTATTTCTATTATTTGCCGAGTTGGAAATAGTTACATTATATCACTTTGGTCACCATAAGGATTCATTGGTATATATCTATTTTCAAATAAAAATGTGTACTCCTATTTAACTAATAGGTAACCACTATATGAATACTTTTGGGATTTACTAAAGAACAAAAGTTCAGTGTTTTGTATTAATTTTCCTTACTAATGACTGAAGTGTTCAAAATTACTCAAGTTTCCTGGTAGTATGCGGCAATATGTTTGGGCTATGGCCCGGCTTACATTTCACTAGTAAAGTGCAAAGGATTCTTGTGCATTAAAAAATTAATGCGATTTACGTACATATTAACATGCATACAAGGTTTAAATTTGAAAGCATTTTAGGTTGCGTTGTTGATCCGTGTGTTTACAAAGGTAGTGGGTATACTGTTGTCAATATAAACCACTGTCGCTTTCTGCCAATGCTAGTTCTTTGGGGCCCATTATAGAGAGTAAAAGGTGGGTGAACGAACTGCATTTGGGTGCAATTTAAATCAATTCTTTTTGTGAAGTGGAACTACGAGTATAAACGTGATAGTGCTGTCAATAAAAGAGTGTTCACTAATTTAGTGGTTCTTAAAAATGCTCTGAAAATTTCCTCTCAATAATATTCCTAGGGAAATATTTTTTTATTTATTCATATCTATAGTAATGTTAAGAATAATGTATGCTATAAGTATTTTCATACAAATTATATTTGAATCCAAAGATTTTTTAATGGTGTAATAAAAATGATAAGCAACTATTTCGAATTCATTTCACATCTAACGTGCCCATGGACACTTGTGTTGAATTAGTCGTTGATATTCAGTTCAGGACACACTCTACGTTGCATTGTTACCGAGTACACGTGATTAATTATATTCGGTGTATTTTTTACAGGAACAATTTTAAGATGAGGTCCTTCATAATTTTGTGTTGTCTGGTGGCAGCAGTGTTTGCAGCTGACAAATATAACTCAAAATATGACAACTTCGACGTGGATACGTTAATTACCAACGACAGATTACTTAAGGCATACATCAATTGTTTCCTTGACAAAGGACGGTGCACCCCCGAGGGATCAGATTTTAAAAGTACGTATACATTTACAATTATATCGACAGATTTTAGCTATTAGTAAAATTACTCACCAATATTACAGTGTCAGTTACCGGTATCACCTTTTTTAAAGAAGGTAGGGAACTTATTCCACATCCTGAGGATTCGCGAGACATTCCTCTGAAATCGTACTGTATGTGACCATTTGGGATTTAGTATATGTATTTAGTTAAAATTATTATAGAATCATTGATTAATTTATAGTCTATGTTTGGCTCATTACAGACTGTAAAGGTCTGCCCCAATACCTTCTACTATACGATCCTCTGCTTTTTACATTCATTCATTATAAAATATAATTCACAACTTTGTTTTAGTAATATTTAATAAAATATATGTATAATGAAAGTATTAAAGAATATACAATATGACTTAAATAGCTACTTTGCAATATTGATTACACAGCATTTACAATATTTATGACGCTACTAAATTCAGGACAATTTGCAAGTGTCCTTTTGGTGGTACTTACTTGCAAAAGGGGACGAGGTTAAACGTTGTCAGAAGATAGTCTTGAACCAAATTGTGAACTTGTTTTATGTCTTACACCAATAAAGAATTGGTCAACACCGTTTTCCTTATGAAATCATACCTACAGACATTCATGGATGTATTCTTATTTAATATATTATAATAATTTTCATTATTTTACATTTTACTTTACAATTACCTTAATGTTTTTTATGCTTTTATTTGGATTTTCAATCAAAGATGTTGTTCTCCTGTTTCAATCCTCGACATCGTTTACAGAAACTTTGATTATGATCAAAGTTTCTGTAAACGATGTCGATGGTGGCAGATAATATGTAGACTGTAAATGAAATTAGGTTCTTAATAATGTTTGCCATCACTGCGGAATTAGTGTTTATCAGATTTGTATTCCTGACTTTTAGTTTTATAAATTGGGTATAATATACTATTGGGTCACGGTGCTCTGGAGATACTTATTCAGGGCAACAATATGAAAGCTATAATTTTCTAAAATTTTCCATAAACATACTTTAGATAACGTCAGCTTAGAAAGAGTTTTCTGAAATTTTCCCGAAAGCACGGAGAATATAGTATTAATTTATAGTATTGAAGATGGTTTCTATTACTTATTTCTGTTTAAAAAAGTACAAAAAATTCCAAGTAACAATAGTAGAAAAGTAATTTTTTATGATAATTTTCGTACTTTTCAGAGACACTACCTGAAGCTGTAGAAACCGTCTGCGCTAAATGTACAGAGAAACAGAAGCTCAACATTAGAAAAGTGATCAAAGCTATCCAGCAGAAGCATCCAAAGCAGTGGGAGGAATTGGTCAAGAAGAACGACCCAAGTGGCAAGCATCGCGCCGACTTTGACAAATTCATCCAGGGAAGCTAAATGTCAAAGATATTTCGATACAGGTCGAATATGGATAGTTGAAGTTTTTGATTTTGTTATATTTTTTTTAAATTCAGATTGAAAATTTAAATATTAATGAAATACCACCGGTCGTTAAGTACATACTTATTTTTATTATTGAAATAGTTGAAATTGTAGTGACCTCACAAAATTTAAGTTTTGCATTGATAGTTTGATTGACATCTATAGATAGCTTCATAATTTGTTAATTATAAAAAAATAGAAATACTTGAGATTATTGCTTATATGTTACATAAGGAGAAACTACAACGTTATATCTAACCCGTGGCATTTTCAACTTATTTGTCACTTATATTACGGGATATTGTGGTTTAATTGTTATTATTTATTAAACAAATTAATTTTATAACTAGGTCGTCTAAATTAGATGTCGAGTGTTAGTCATGACAATACGTACCGACTGATGATACTTTTAATAAATAAAATTTATAATAATGTGTCTTAATTTAATTTGTACTTCTATTTAACTAATCTTTAATTTTACCGGCTTTTGTAAATTTTATTTGCAGTTTAATAGATACAGCTCTGTGATAATATGTTAATTGTGAAGGATAGAATTGATGTGTCTTTTATTTGTATTTAAGTATAAAGGAAATGAGGGTACTGTTTTATGGAGATTCGTTTCTATCTTTGGTGTAACATAATATAAAAAGTTTAAAAGGCTTAATGAGAAAGTGCTAGATGGTACTATAGTTACATGACGATAATATAAAATAAATATGGCCATATCAAGAACTAATTTTACAGTGCAACTTTTTGAGTTTATCTCGTAGTCCATAACTTAGTGCAGACATTTTTATAGGTCGTCTTGGTAATAGGGTATGTATTTATGTCGTGAGGCAACAATGCGTGCGTTATTTTATTTTAGTTTGAAGGACAAATGCCGTTTTTATCACTAGAGTCATAAATCTTTTTATTTCAGTGTAGCAAAGCATGAGAATTGTCATGAGTAGTTCAGCCAATTCAAGTTCAAAATCATTTATTCATAAAAGTATATTTTTGCCAGCTTTTGATATGTAGATGTTTTATCTTCGAGTTCAATAAGCAGTTTTCAATGTCATGTCTGTTTATGACAGTTACCTCTTTTCATCAGGTGAGTTATTCGCGTGTGTGATAAAATGTAAATAAATAACCTAGTAAAAAAGTCATGGATTAGGGCTCCAAAATTTATTTTTGTATAAGAATAAAAATACCTAAAATAATGTTATGACTCTATGGGTACTTAGAATGTCAAATGTGTGCTGAGCGTATCTTAACTATCGCTAATTAAAACCAACGGAATTGTTATACACATCGTACTGTTACTTTGATAATATACGCAATGTACGATGATTGTATTGTTCGAGTAGTGGAAATTAGCAATTAGCTTAGCCAAGTTGCGTTGCGTTTATATGTTTTTGTGTCAGGTGGGAGGGCAGCGGGTCGGTTGCGCAGTTGCCGTTTGCTGTTCATTGCTATGTGACGTAACGATGCTTGTGCAATGGCGTCACATAATCTTTAAGACGCTGCAATCGTTCCGCGTCATACACCACGGGATTCGCGTCACAATTTTATGGCACAACTCACAAATTTATTGCATTGCTAGTCTTTTGCCGCGATTTCGTCGGCATGACTGGGATGTGTTGAGTGACCAGGATAAAAACACACAAGATAAAAAATGTCTTATTCTATTCTAAATAGTACGTATAGGAGGAAGGTATTGTCAGTAAGGGGGGTTAATGACCTCATTAGCAATATAACCTATCAGGTTGACCTTCACGCGGTCCCCTCTAGAAACCATCGTGGTATATTATTCACGATGAGCGACTGATCTGTTTTCCTCTTCGTCTATCATTCCTAACTGATAATAGTATCAATTAGGAATAATATTAATAATTAGCATAGTGAAGGCGGTTTTTCCATTTAATTTTATCGCAAAAAAAGAAATAGTACATATATATCAAAATTGGCGATTGGTTGAGTACAAAAGTAACTATCAAACTCACTTACTTACACATATGAGTAAGAATACACATTAAATGTTTCCATAACTGTAAATTAAAATTCAGTTTTAAAATAATATACTTTAACGTCTACAGAAAATGAAGGAAAGTCCCTCCATATTTTGTCAAGGATAACTGGAGGTGAACCGTGATTATTCATTCGAACAAATTGAGACTTGTTGAATAATAAATAATTATAATATGGATTAAAACTTGTTTATTAATTACTTTGAACTCTACCACGAATTTGGTTAATTGCATGTTTGTTTTAGTTAATAGTAAAGTAGGTATAAATATTTGGTTAAATATTTATGTAAAATTTAGTGATGTAATGTTGTTTTGCTTGCTCCCTTCAAATGAAAGTGTTTTCTTTTCGTTACTCACATACAAAATAAAAAGTAATAAAAAAACTAAATAAATAAAATTAAGGATAAAATGCAGTTTATCAGGTGATTCGTGTATTAAAATATAATATAATTTAGTGAATACTTTTAATTTGGAAATTATTTTCAAAAAAGTAAATGGATCTTTAAGACAAGGTAGTGATTACAAGTACTAATGCAATGAGCTGCTTAATTATATCTAGTATGTTCTTTATACCATTTTATTTTGGGTTATTTTATTTAAATTTTTTTTTAATGGTGGTTAACGACAGTTAGATCTAGGAAAATAGCAAAATATATTTGTTTATTATAAGTTCAGTATTTTGAATTAAATGAAAATAAATTATTGAATATTTTGTAATATTCGTAATTAGCTACTACTCATGCATCCATGGTTGCGTTTATAGAAATGGCGAATTTAATGGTACTTTTATTAAGATTAATTTATTACGATAAATTATTAATTTTATATTCGTACAGCTGCCATATTGCTTTAGTGGAGTTACTAGGCGTTTTGGTGTTTCTAGAATATCTCAGAAATTCTGTTTATATATTAGATAAATGTTTGCAATGCAATGTTTGTAACTTTATAAAAAAGTTCATTATTTAATAATTCTTAGTGCCGGCTAAGTGATTAAAAGATGACGTTATTTTATGTGGTGACTGAATAAATAAAAGTAATTCAAGTTTGCAATATTTAATTATAATTAAAAGTAATGCTCCACATAGTGCATTTGTAATAGTAATCAATGACCAACACTTCACGTTTATCCTCTAGTAAATCCAATTATATTTTAAGCTCATTGTTACAGTTATTACAGTTTAGTCAGTGCCAACTAAAAATGCTGTAAATGCTGCTTCATATTCGCCTTTAGGGTCAAATCTAGACCGGAATATTTTGAAATCATCTGGTTTCTTCTCACTAAGGGCTTTTACAGTTTTCCTCACGTGTTGCCTTTGGATCGGGCTGCATTTAGCACAGGCAGTTGCAATAACTTCAGGGAGCAACTCTGAAAAAAAAAGCATAAAACATTAATATCAGAATTTAATAAAATATTTTATATATATCAGTTTTCATATTGAAGCATAGATACATTTAGAAATTAGTACTGTTTTGTAACGGGTAAACAAGTCTAACTGAAAAATAGATATTAGCGGTTTTAGTACAAAAATAATTTAAAATACTATCTAAACAGAATTTAAGAAAATTTGTGTAATTGGATTAATATTGTTTATTTTTAATAATGGTTATTTGAAATTAGACGCGCTAAGTAAACAAAAAAGTATCTAAATATATTACAAAATTAATTCAAGCAATATAAAAACAATTTTATATTTTGTAGTAAATATATATTAAATTATGAATGTCGTCATTGATAAAGATGACCAAAAGCATAAACTTTTTTTGCTATTGGACAAGAAAAATGAGAGATATACAAGGATCATTAATTCTATTCAATTAGTAAAATTCCTTTTACTATTCTGGTTGAGCTTAGAGTATTTGGCGAAGAAGGAATTCGTTCCTTCTTCACCAAATACTCTTGATCTTGCTTCGGCAAGATCTATTGTCTGCTTTCTAGAGTACAGACGTTCGATTGCTCGCTAATTGGTTTTTCACTTTGACTTTAATTATATCATATCACATATTTTTAATTAACTAGTAGTTTAAAAAAAAGACAATCTTACTTTTGAACTCTTCCGAATGTTCCAGAGTGCAGGGTCCCTTTTCGAGCATACAGTCTATATATCCAGTGAACAGAGAATCATCGTTAATGATTTTGTCGACGTCTACTTTGTCGAAGATTTCGTCGTAGCCAAAGACAATAGTAATCGCCATAGCGACCACGGTGATGAAAACGGTCTTCATTTTTGTGATATCCTGTATTAAGATTATAATCTACATTAGTAATATATCACATATTGCTTAAAATCAAGTCAAAATTTTTGTATAATATACAGTAACAATATGAATAAGGAAAACGATTACAAGTGTGAATTGTATAAGAACTTATATTACGTTCGTGTATAAGATCACGTCTATAACCTAATGGATTTTAATGAAAATATAAACATAGCCATAAACGATCCGATCATAAGACTGATCCGTCTGCTGAGGCTTAAGGCTGAAGCCTGCTGAAGATGCTATTAGCTTTACAAATAAAATTAATAAAAAGCGTTAATGACTGATCCTCATAAGGGAGTTAATGAGAATACAAAATATTTAGTTATTAAGTTGGACATTTTATTGTTATCAATGAGGTGTTCTACTTAAAATGTAATATAAATAGTTATAAACTCAAATATTTTGATAATCTGAATCTTGTTACGGTAGTGGCTATCTGCCTACTAATATATGTATGTAAGATATTTTTAGCTTTTTATTTTTATACGTGTTAAGTATATTGTTAATTGTAGTTACATGTCTACATAGTTTGAAGTGTAATCATTAAAGTTTCTAGACAAGACTTCTTTACTAAATCGACCTTCTCAAATTTAGTTGATAACATCTTTTATTACAAGCCATTAACCGAGTGAGATTCAACTACTACGCTATTATATATAATAAGGAAATAGTTTTTACATTACATTTTGTATTAAAGCAACGAAGTGTATATTATTTCAAAATTTGTCTAGAAAAACATTATGATGTCTATTAAGATATCTAATCTTACGGACTACATACCTACATACCTACCACCTACGTGAGATAATTGGAAAACAATAGTACATTATTATTTTATTATTTAGTTTTACTTCTTTGGATAAATATATAATAGTCTATATTATTTATTATAAAAAAGTATTGAAAAAATGGTAAGTAATCCGAGTAAAGTTTAAAAAAAAATTGAAAACCTCTATTAATAAGATATATTGGAGTTTATATCACTATTTATTACCATTCATAATCATAAGCACTACACAATTACATCAATTGCCTGGTACTCAAGTTATCTGCCTTTGGGGAAAGCAAACAACGAATACCTGGGAACACCACCCAGAACAACCAGGCCAATGAAATATCAAATAGTTTAGAAAAATTTGATTGAAAATTAACAGAGATGTGTCAATTTTAATTTAATTTAACTGTCTTCAATTAAAATAAATGTATAGATATGTCACTTTATTTTAATGATAATAAAAGTATAAATAAAAAAGTAGCGGATTTATAAAAAGTTTAATGCAAAAAAATAAAGGTATAAATAAAGCCGTAATTATTTTTGTCTTATTTATATAATGTAAAATCAATATTTCTTACCAAAATAATCCTTTGAATGCTCGGTGACACTGATACCTCTTCCATATTTTCGCAATATTTATATACAAAACAAACGGAAATTCACTATTATTATAATATCCAAACTGCGCTATTGAAATTATTTTGACTGTAATCATTATAACATCATTATGCTACACAAATCAAAACAGATGGCAATATTCATTTAGGGGAACAATGTTAATCTTTCTACCGTGAAACAGCAAAACGCTGCAGCACACCCTGCCTTTTGATTTAAGGAGTAAGGATGCCAGTGAAATCTTTGATATAAAGTCCTCATTAGCACCAAAATAGCAAACAAGTTTATCGGTAGAGATTTTGTACTAGTCTACATATACAGCTCGGTCCTATCATGTCTCTTTCTGGTACTAAAAAAAATGTCTATAGTTTTGTTTCAGTTTAAATATATTCCTATACTCTTATGGTAATTAACTCTTTTGAGTAAAAATAATATATGTGTATTAACAAATGCTCTTACTGGAACACTGCAAACCATACAAGCATATGGACTAATTAAGTTTATGCCCAAAAAGTGTTTGTAGATTTTGTCACAATGAAGAATAAAAAGTTGCAGCGCTTAATTTCTGGCTATAGCACACTCATATATATACGATACATACATGGAAAATAGGTACACTTTATATCTTAAGGAGATAAAAATATCGCTACAAAAAACATCTTAAAATTCTTTTCACTGATAGGTATTAGCAGCGAACTTTAAAAAAAGGGCAAGTACAAAAGATTATGGAAAGAGTGCAGTGTTACAGGTTTCCTTGCCTGAAAATTCCGTCTGTCTATAATAATAATAAGGGTATCCTTATGGTAGTGAAACTACAGGATATGGATATCACACAGAATAGCTATATTTTGTTTGCTACATAAAGAGACAGGAGCATCATCGTTTAATGGATATAAAAGACGACACAGTATTATTTGTCGTCTTTTATATTCGATATCTACAAGGTGCGTCGTGCTTTATTCGCCGTATTCTGTTATACTTACGAGTATTACAAATAAGATTATCCTTGACAAAAAATCAGCATTTTTCAATTATGGTACAATTGATATGGGTCTACACAGGAGTAAAGCATATTAATTAAAAATAATTATTAAAATAGGTAGAGTATTTATGAAATTACTGCGTAACTTAAAGACAAAAAAAAAACACGGATTAATTGACAATTCGAAGTCATTTACAAACAGTACAATTGCGAGTAGAATTTAAGTCTTGAGGGACAGTTTGTAAATTTTTAATTTATTATTTAGTTAAATAAAAAATAAATAAATATGTTTTAATAAAATAGTAATCATATTTTATTTTTCTATCTAATATAATATTGATAAATATTTTTAGTATCTATTCGGTGTTATAAACTACCGGATATTCATAATGTGATATATAATAACTACTCATTACGTCTAACCATTTTTGCTTGTAGCCATGGTAACAAAATGTATCTAAAAACAGAAGAGATAATAGGTAATATAATGTATGTAAATTGCTCAACATGAAATATAGAAGTGGTAATTTTGAGGTTTTGGCATTATGTAGGTACTATGCAATATGCTATTTTAAATGGGTTCCTACGAACATATTAAGAAATTCAGAAATAGTCCTTTTGAAATATTCGCATCGTAGTATAGTTACGAGATATTTAGTCTTAAATTTTATTTTCACAAGCACCATTAACTAATTAGCTTTGAGCAGAAGTTTCCTTTACCTCTTTTTGGGGGCTTTACTGCTTATCAGATTGAAGGTGACAATAGATATTGTAACAATCTCTGTCACTTTCTATTTACTATTGCCAGGGAATTTACGAACATATTAAATTACAAGGTGATTACAGAGTCATCAAATGGAATAGGTTTGGCAACGCGCATTGACACCCTTAGAGTTGCAGGCATCCATAACCGTTTACCATCAAACGGGCTGTATGTTTGTTTGCCACCTTCGTCGTAAAAAACTTGTGGTAACCGTGTATCATTAATCGAGTTGTATATGAGGATCTTAGTAAACTGCGAAACGATGATAGGATTTTAAGAGCCAAAACCTGGTTCTTTTTTCATTATAGTTACGCCTGTATATCGAAAAGTTAATTGTCCACACCATTTAATATGCAGTCGTAAAAATGTTATGTGTTTGAGCTTATCTCTCTCTTGTCGGTGCAACTAATTCATGCATCTTTTTCCAGCCAGCTTTATCCCAGGCCATATCCTTGACCTCCCTATACGACATGACACTTAGTGTTTCTTTTATCTGTTTATTGAATTGTTTATTGTTTTTTGGAATAGAAAATCAGTAGACTATTTAAATAAATAAGTTATTATATTAAGGCAGACATAAATGATATCAATAAAGATACATTCACAGAGCCAATGCCAATGGTTTATACGTCGTTGAGAAAATGTCTAATTATTAGCAATCGCTGATTCTAAAGCGTCGAACGTTGTTCCTTCAGGATCATATTTTCGTCTGAACGCTTGATAATCACTAGGTAAATTTTTCTTCAATTCTTCAAGGTATCTTCTTAAAATATATTTCTGTGTATGTGTGCATTTTGCACACGCTGTCTGCACAATATCTGGTATCGCTTCTGAAAATGTTTAAAATGTTATGATATTTAGTTTTAAATTGCTAGTAATCTTTATCATTTATGTTTAGGCAATACATATAAATTTTAAATTCCGTTAGATATGTGATGGTTATTATTTTGGTAATTTTTTATTATTATTATTATTATACCAGAGGGAGCTGCTACAAAAGTTGTCGGCATAGATATCTCAAGTGCCTCTCTGACACTCCTTTTCCTTGCCCCTAAACAACAATGCTTGCATGATCATGTTTCAGTTTGAAAGGTATTGAAATCACAGGGTGCGGAGGGTTAACACATTAGGGGTGTCACAGAAAATTCAGTGGTAGCTAGTCTGCTATTCCGTCAAAGCTGTATATTAAAATTTAATATATCATCTTACGTTTGAGCGTGGCAGTCTTCTTAGTACAGCTATTTCTGTCCAGATAGCAACCGACTGACATTTTCATGTATCGTGGATTGCGAACTAACGTGTCAATGTCCATGTTATCATGTTTAGAACTATATAATCTTGCCCCTGCTATTGTTGCAAAAGCTAAAATTAGGATCCAGAACTTCATCCTCACGCTGAAAAAAAAAAATAGTTGTAAACAAAAAATAATTACTGAATAATTGATACATGAGGAAACAACAAGCTAATTGAAGAAAAATAATAGATTCATTTACGACTATAATATACATTGTAGTAAGCTAGATTGTAAGTTGTACAGTCAGTAAATAAAGACATTTGTACAGTTTATTTTTTTTTCCTTAACAGAACAATTAATTTTTAATAAACTTATTAAAATTGTGTGACACGAAAATATTCATAAATTGTACAGAAACAATCTACCTATCTAATTTTCATTCAGGTCTCGACTGTAGGTTGTCTTTGTTCTTTTTAAAGTTTTGAAAAAAATATGTGCATTCAGTAATAATAAATACCTACATACTACATAATACATGTAGTACTCAGTATTTATTATTTTAAAGACTAAATGCATATATATTTTATACTTGTATTAACATAAATTATATATTGCGTACTTAAAAAATATCAGTAATTAAAGTATTGTTTTTAAAGTAACAAACAATATTTCAGATGTCAAGAATAATTTTAATAAAATACAATTTTTGTCGTGTTTGGAATAAAAAGAAATTGTTGGATAGTATTATTTCATGGAGGGTCGCGGAGAGTCAATTAACATTTTTTAAATTTATAATGATGCACTAAAAAAAATAGTAAAAAATATTGTTGGTCTTAAAAAATCGTAACTCAATTGTTTTGTACTTAAATTTTATTTCTTGAAATAAAATTGTCACTTACTTGGTATTATTTTTGTTCCTTTATAAAAAAGAAGGTTCTTGGCGAATTCACGGTGTGTAAGTGTATTAAAAGATGCCACCCACAGGAGCACTAAGTGAACAAATATATTCATAAACCAGGACACGCAATTTATAGGTTTTGATTAGTCATACTTGTATTCATTCCTACTTACTCGTAGTTATTTGCATGTAGCAAAGTTTATTGTTTAAATTCTGAGTATTTTGTATGCAGGCATTATGCATGCATATCGCAATTGGGGATAAATATATTGACACATCGTTTTACGTTATAGTAAGACAATAAAAAGCAAAAATCAATCACAATTAATCATAAGTTAAGTCCGTCAAACTGACCAAATAAACAAAGAAATCACTATATTATTTAAGAGTCTGTATCGCTTTTATATCGACGAAACTAAAAAATATTTTATGCAATCATATAGAAGCATAATAATAAATTATTATTCAAAGAATATTATTGTATAATTTATGTAACATAATTGTATTTATAACTATTTATAATAAAAATATAAACAAAATATTACATAATATTATATATTTAATATATAATATAATTACCTCCAAGGTTAAGTCCGCTTGTGTACATTTTCGTTATAATTTGACATCCATATTCAAAGAGAATGTATAAAAGTAAAGTAAATAATTAATATTCAATATTTTATAAAGTATAAAATTTAAAAAATTAAAATTTTATGATTATATTACTTATAAAAAAATATATTAAAATAAAAAATAATATATATATTCTTTATTGTACTAAAACATACAGTAACAACAATAAGTTAACAATAATGTTATCAAAGACGAATTTATCTCTAAAAGAGATTTCTTCCAGTCAACCTAACACAGTGGCATAGGAAGTATATAGTGGCATACATATATATATATATATATATATATATATATATATATATATATATATATATATATATATATATATATATATATACAATACAACATAAAAATATCCAATAAAAGAGAACACAATGATGACAGACTTCTAATTTCTGTATATTATAATTAATTGTATTTGAACAAAATTGGAAAGATAGAATGATTTTAATCTTTTTTTGAAGGAACTGCTAGACGGGCTATTCTGAATACTCACGGGAAGTTTATTCCACAGCTGTATAGCAGGATATGCAAATGAATTATCCATAAAATGGGTTTTATAGCTGGGAAGCTTCAGTAACCTGGACCGATTCAGACAATGACGTCTAGGTCTGGAAGGAAGAGGTAACAATTGGAACCGGGAACGAAGGTAGGAAGGAGAATTGGGATCATTAAGGACATTATATAGGACCGCTAGGACATGTGTCTCATGATGCTATCTGATCGGGAGCCACTTTAAACGAGTACGGTATTCCGAGACATGATCATATTTTTGTAAGCTGAAAATAAACCTTATCGCTAAATTTTGCAGTCGCTCAAGCTTATTTAGCAGCTCCAATAATAATAAATGTCTAATTTAAAATTGAGCCTAATACAACTTGTATTAAACACAAATATATTTTATGATGAATTTGGAATAGTAGAAGTAGTATAGCACATAGATAATACTATACTAGTAATAGAACTATTACTTGAATTGTGAAGACATTATATATTCTAAGAAGAGAACAAACAGATTATATTACTATAATAATTAAAGATTGTGTTAAAAAAAAACCGTCTTCAAATGTGACGAAACCAGTTATTTTGATTTAAAAATTAACTACTGAACCGATTTTAACTAAATTTCTATGAACTAATCTATCTTTTCAGAAAAAAAGAATTTTCCAATTCGGTTTAGAATTTGTCTGTGGCTGAAATCTCCGCTCCTTATTCTCTAGTCCAAATTTGGGCACTGCCCTCTCGGTCCCTCTAAATGCGCCTATCAACAACAGTGAAATTTTGCAAAGCGCTGTTTTATTCGCGTGAAAAATTGTGATCCTAAAAGTCATAGCGTGTCTTTATTCTATCTAAACATTACTCGTACGTACATGACATAAATTTCTTGTCATTTGAAATATTTGAGATTGTGTATTTAAGGTAGCAAGAAGTAACAAACAAATTACTATATAAACTCACTTTCATGTTTACAATATTAATATTATTAAGGACACTATTTTTGTAAGGATTAAAAGAAGACATATATCTACGTTCTCAGAAAATAATGAAGCATTGTAATCATTGCGTCATGCATACTAATATCTAAAAACAAATGTAAAAAAAAAACAAGCCGGGTATATAGGATGCAAGCTTGAAAATTTTTGTCAGTATCTACTTGGGAAGACGTTGTTCTTGTTTTACAGACTCTTTACAAGATATTTTGTGAATTATTTTTGGTAAGTCGTACAAATTTATGTTAAAAATATAAGTAACTGTCTATTAGCCGTAACATTGTCCGCGTGAGCAGGATATGTTTACTGACCGAGATAAAAATTAGCTTATATCTTTCTTTATCCCATATAATACGTGTATACCAAGGTAACAAACTAACAAACTCACTTTCTCGTTTATAATATTAGTAAGGATGTAATATTATTAAAATATTACTTTGTAATGTCTAATTTAATGGCCTTATATTGCTTACTGAATCTTATTAAGTTAATAAACATAGTTTTATTGTTTGTTAGTACGATGATCCTTGTCAACTTAGTCCTACGTAAGTGATTTAGAACTATTACTTGTCTATGTTGTATAAGCTGTTAACTGTCCACTGCTGAACATAGCCCCCCCCATAAGGGGGATTTTGCTAGTACCTCCCATGTTTGGCAGGCGGGTTAGCAACCGCAGTTTGTCTTTTGGTGATGTTTTAAGTGAGACGTTGCTGCCCATCCCTTCACTATAAGCTCCTTTAGACGTCCCTTACGACACCTACGAGAAAGAAATAGGTGGTTTATTCTAAGCCATGAGCTACAGGGCGAATTACTTACCTATATAGTAACATAATTGCATTGTGTATTATGTACAATAATTATATATTATGCAGCTAGTGATTAATAACTAAATATTTATATACCGACAATTTGCATTACGTACATTTACACATAATAAATACTTAATTACGGCATTTTAGGAAATAAAATTAAATTTAGTATATTCTATACTTTTCCTTATTTTAGACGTGCAATATGTTTTCCCTTTTTTTATAAATAAATACAAAATATCTAATACATTAGTATATGTAGCTAATCTTAATGGCATTCAAAATTTAAATTAATTAAAATGGTTAGGTAAAAGATTCGAAATCTTTATAAATAAAAAGCCGTATGCACGTTTTTGTTTTAAACATACACGCACACAAAACACATACATACACAACCAAAATTTACTCTGAAATACATTAGCAATTCAAAACATGGTCAAGGTTTTATGAAACACTTTTCTGAGAAGTTTAAACATTCATTTAAATGAAGTCATAAAAAAGGAGTAACGTAATAAGAATCTAAGTAAGCAAACCTTAATGATACGAGTAGTTATGAGTACTTTTTTTATTACAAACTAACTGTATTCCGCAGCTTTGCCTGCGTGAGTCACTACATAAAGTATCTTATGTGCTAAGTTACAATACCATCTATTTGTGCACCAAATTTCATTCAAATCCAATCAGGTAATTTTTAAGTGAAAGAGTAACATCTATCCAACTACCCATCGTTACAAACTTTGCAATTATAATATTAATAGGATATATGCAAAAAATTTTGGGATTTTTGATGAGGAGTTGTGTTTATATGGCTGTGTTTCGGTTTGAAGAGTGGGATATGGCTGTGAATTTATAGGGTACACAGGAATAAAACTTTTGTTCTCAGGAATAGCAACGCATGGGAGGGGGGTGTCATGGGCAAAGTATTATACTCTGTTATATTATATGTTACCACTTTCCATCAGGTGGGCCGTCAGCTTGTTTGCCATTCTAATTTGCGTAAAAAAATTTCGAAACTGCTCAATCGATTTTAATGAAATTTTGTAAATGTGTAATCCTTGTTCCAGTTTGAAACATAGAATCGTTTTTATCATGACAAGGAATAAAAACTGTCCACCATGTGATTCCGGTATAGAATAGGTCACCCTTTCCTTTCCCGTAGGTGTCGTAAGAGTTGACAAAGAGAGGACGAGGGATGGGCAGCAGCGTCCCTCTTAAAATATCTCTAAAGGCCTAACTGCGGTTGCCAATTCGCCTGCCAAGCGATGCAACTACTGGTAAAACTCCCCTTATAGGGAAGGTTCAGCAGTGAGTAGATAACGGCTGAAATAATAATAATAATAAAAAGTAGATTCGGTATATGGTAGGTATGGTATGGTATATGGTAGGAAGCACATAATGTTAGTATATTACTTTTATTTGCATCATCTCTTTAAATTCGTATTAAAGAGGGCGTTATCCTATACTAATATTATTGTCCTTTAAAATAAGTTGTTTGAGTTTAAATTTAATTTTTTAATATATATTTTAATATTATAAAAAAATCAAACGACACAAAAACATGGCATACAATAATTTAGATTAATTATAATACAATAAAAGCTATGAAATGTATATTCTTCCTGGTAATGGATAACACAATTGAATATGTAATATGAACATTAAGATCACAATCATACTAGTAATTATTCTAGATATTATTATAATGTATTCTATGTATCATTTATGTAGATACAATAACCTATAATTTGACCTCTAGCAATTATTTGATGCTGTACGATAACTGGAAATTTATGACTGGAAAGAGTAAGGTATACCTAAACTTAAATATTGAATATATCAATTACATTTAATTTACCAATTATTGTATTTTTTTAATAGATGTAACATGTAGTACATCACCGGTAAAATAATTACTTCGATTACGCTATTTGTTTGCGCTAGTAGGGAACCAGTGAGGGATGACAGGTGAGGATAAGATTAGGTCAGTTGGCCATGGTGACGCATTCACCAGGAATTAAAAACGATCGGTTTTGATCGGCCGGACAGGGCTATCATGGTTTAATTTTTGATCGTTGTAAATTCTGTACTTAATCACGCTTCTCAACATCTGAAATGGGTAAGATTGAGTTAATATCTAACGTCTATAACTCATTTATGTACCTCCTATACGGATCCGATTGTAAATATTGTACTTAAACTCAGAAATACATGTGTATACATGGTGTATG